CCAGCAATGAATCACGATCAAAATCGAAAAAGGAATCAGAACAAAAACACATGCACGACGGAAGCGACGGATGGAGATGGTCCAACCACAGGAGTAGTTTTTCGTGTTAACCTTGCAAGCCTCCTCTTTGGCCGGGAAAGGCGTGTTCTCGGGCCAGGACTCGAGGTTCTGCACGACGTACAACTCGGAGTCGACGAGGAAGTTGGCTCGGAGCCTCGCGATGCCCATGAAGTTGACGGCGAGCGACTTCATGTAGCGGTGCATCTCCCCCGTGAGCACAAGCATCGACGTCTTGCCGAGGATATCCGCCACGCTCTTGGGGAAGCTTGGCACGAACAGCCTGTCGTCATTCATCAGCACGAACCGGTTGAGCTCGGCGTCGGCCGACACGATGGTGGGCGCGCCGAACAGGTTGGACTTGTATATCCTCCCATATCTGGGGATCACACCAGAAAAAAAGAAGCAGAAGCGATAGATCAAATAGGAGTGAGGGCATTAATCAATTACTTTGCACGATCCAACTCGTGGTGATGGTATATCAGGAGAGTAGTACACCGTTGGCTAGATACTACTCGATGATTACTTGTTAATGCGATCTTCCATGTACTCCCCCAGGGAGTTGCAAGGATGTTGCCTCCGAAAAGCGATGGTCTCGCCAAGAAGAGGCCATCCCATGCTCCCAGGTGGGAGGTTGAGGCCCTTGGTCTTCCGGCTCTCGCTGTTCCTTAGGCCAAGGGCGGCGGCCAGGAGGACTAGGAGGGTGGGGAACAGGAAGAAGAGAATGATCACAGGAGCCATGGCTTCTTCTCTCCCTGGCTCTCACTAGTGCCACCCTCCCTATCCGGTCCCTTTGGCAGCGCAGACGGATGTAATGCTGGTGTTATAATCAGCCAAGCGACGCGGTACTGATCAAGCGGCGGAGTAAAAAAGAAGAAGAAAACGTAGAACGAATACTGCAGTGCCGAGTTGAACTCTCCGCCCACGTGAAACTGTTCCTCTGACACGCAAACCTACTCGCTGCTGCTTTTTGGAGGATGGTAGAGTCGACGGACGCGATTTGCCCGACCGCTCGGATCTGCAGATATCTGATGGAGCGCTAACCCGACTCAGATCCACAGGAAGCGATGCTGCATTAGATCTGGAAAATTTTAATGTCAACATAGTAGTAATTCTGAGTCCCACCATTTCTTCGCTTCCCTGCTGAAGAATTATTTTCTATAAATAATAGTAAAACTACATATTAGTAGTGTAAATTTAATGAGCATCACGTGCTGAGTAATTTAAGTCACATGCCGACGATATATCAAATAGAGATGGACATGTTGTGTGTCTAAAGAGGATATGATTTCCAAGATCACAACGTTAGGAAAAGTTTCATCGATATGTGTGTCCCTTTAATCTAATCCTCGGAGCGCAAAGCAAGAGGCGGTGTCGATTCACTTTTGGATTTTAACGCTTAAAAGAGAAAACAAGAAATTAGTTTATTATATATACATATATATATATATATATGGAAAAAATCATGACTTCGTGTACATATATGATGAGGATAGTAATTACGATAAGACTCGGCTGACGTCAGTCGACGCCTCACGCCTTGATCGGCGCGACTGCACTCGGTCAACCGAACTGGAACACCGGTCGAGGCGCATTAACGCCTACTCAGGCGCGGTTCTTCACGCCACGCCAGCGCCCATGTCAGACGCTATCAGCCTGCCTGCCTCCTACAGGCGGGCACATCAAACAGCAGTAAGCTTCCCTATAAATACCCTCTCGTTCATCAAAAAGAGGGGGGGGGGAGGGGGGACACATACAAACATTTCTTCTTCTGAAACCCCCTCCACATCCTCTATCGGAGGGGTCGGGTCGAGCCTCCCGACCCGACCTTGGTGCAGGTGCGAAGCCGAGGGTCCCCGCCTGCCGCGCGGACGACGAGCCCCTGCCCGGAGGAGATGGCGACCCTGTCCCGATCGGACCACCGCACCGGACCGACCCCGCGGGCTTGAGGCGCGCCCCGGAGAGATCCCTGACGTCCGGACCCGAACCGAGCCGCGTTGGCCCCGAGGCCACGGCTCTCAAAGTTGCTTACCGCAACAGATTGGTGCTTGAAAGTGGGCCCGGAATGTCAGGTGATCACCCGAGCGGCTCAGATGAGCCAACGGCTGAGATGTCACACCCGACCGAAGCCTCGGGGGAACATCCCCCGCACGGAGGTCATCGTGACGAACACCCCACCACGACCTCCGAACGATATTGGCGAATATTCAACGACCCGGGCTTGTCGCCGCCCGACGACACCCTAGCCGATTCAATGCCCGTGTCACCCGAGGCCTTTCAGGACCTCGCCCGTCAAGTCCGAGCTCTGATGGAAATGGTGCAAACCATTATCCTGCTCGTTTCTCATCCGGCACACCCGCCCGCGATCGAACCACTGCGACAACGCGAGGCGCCCGTTCGGGCCCACGTGACACTACCAGAGCCCCCCACTTCGCCTCGGGTCCGACCGGCCCCACTCGGGGATCCAGTGATGGCAAACCCGAACAGTCACCCGGAACCCGAGGCACTCTCCTCGGACTCTCTACGGGCTCAATTGCGCTTCATCAGCCAGCGACTCAACGAGGTGCAGAAAGAGGTTCGCAGGTCCAAGGGAGAGCTGGGGGAGGACGTTCACCGAGGGTCTCCCTTCTCACCCGAGATATGGGATCTGACAGTCCCCCCGGACTTTTATCTCCCCCTTCTAGACGCTTACCATGGCTCCACTGACCCAGCGGACCATGTAGCTGCTTTTCGCGCCCAAATGGCTCTATACGGAACCTCTGATGCCCTGATGTGCAGAGCGTTTCCTACCACTCTGAGAGGGTCGGTCCGCGCGTGGTATGGCGGCTTGAAGACCAGAACAATCGCTTCCTTCGCCCAGCTCGCCAATGACTTCGAGCTCCACTTCGTAGCCTATGCACGGTCAAAGCCCTCTGCGGCACCACTCCTCGGACTCAAACAAAGGGAGGATGAGCCCCTCTCACACTTTGTGGATCGCTTTGGCACGTAAATCCGGGGCTTGCCGGACGCTCACCCCTCTATATTAGTGCAGGCGTTTGTGACAGGCCTGCGACCTTCCTGATTCCTCTGGTCCCTTGCGGAGCGACCTCCCACTACGGTGCCAGAGATGCTCCAGCGGGCTAACCGGTACATCACAGCCGAGGCCTGGGCGACCGTGAGGAGGATGGACGACCTCTGACCGCGGGCTCCATAAGAGAGGCCAAGCACCTGCGGTGGCTACCCGATGTGGTCCTCATGAAAAGAAATCTAAGCCCTGCCTCAGTCTCTTTTGAGCGAAGGTTGAAGATCTACATGACCCCCTCTCGGCTCGCGGTTGGCCCCAGCTTACACCCCTCTGACTTTACACGGCTCGACCATAGACTACTTGAGTCTACCTCAGCGCGGCCTGCCCGCTTGAGCCGTGTCCCTCGATCGTTGCCCGCCTATGTCGTGATACTCGGTCGCATGGTGCCCGAAATCATGCCTGCGCGGTCTGCCCGCGTGCGTCGTGCTACTCGGCCGCATGACCCTCGAGACCACGCCTGCGCGATCTGCCTGCCTGCGTCGTGATCCTCGGCCGCATGATGCCCGAGACCACACCTGCGCGGCCTGCCCGCCTGCATTGTGCTCCTTGGCCCCATGCTCCCCGAGACCCACCTGCGCGGCCAGCCCGCCTGCGTCGTGCTCCGTGGCTCCATGTTCCCGATACACACCTGCGCGGCCAGCCTGCCTGTGTCGTGCTCCTCGGCTCCATGCTTTCCGAGATCATGCCTACGCGGCCAGCCCGCCTACGCCGAGCTCCTCGGTCATAGTCGGCCCGAGTCCACCTCAGCGCAGTCTGCCCGCCTGAGCCGTGTCCCTCGGCCGCAACCTGCCTGCGCCGAGCTCCTCGGCTGTAGTTGGCCCGAGTCCACCTCAGCGCGGCCAGCCCGCCTGCGTCGTGCTCCTTGGCTCCATGTTCCCGAGACACACCTGCGCA